ATCACATTCAAAGTCATAATTGTATCCAGAAGACATTCTCATTGGTTTCAGTGAGAAACACATTTCTGCCCCAAACCTTTTTTTCCTCCCACCCAACTCGGATGAAATTCTCAGCGATTGTAACCCTCACCCACAGGAATCTCCCTCCCACCCTTCAGGCACATCGGAGAGAGTCAACCTGTTCAAGTCTCACTTACAGATCAGGCCAGAAGCGGGGGGGGGGACGACTGCCAAGTGTTCAGCTTTGCCTCCCACCAACTGCCTTTTCCCCATTTAAGAGCTAATCACAGTGTGAGGGAAGGTTCATTTTTCATTGATGAAACCACATGGGGGGAAATGTTCAAATCCTTTTTCTCTTCCATGCCCCAATCCAAACTGGATTAGCATTTTTTTAAAATGCTATGGTGACAATGTGTGTGTGAAAGAGATCCAATCAGAGATCTCACTGCGTCATTTAGTTTCACTCATATGTATGTGTTCCTGCCTGCCTGTTACATTTTCAGCATTACAGGACATAATCAACGTATATATCTACATCATTCGTCTTGCCCTTCCTCCAAGGAACTTGATCCAGTACACGTAGGACTCCCTACTACTGTTTTATTCTCACAAGAACCCTGGGAGATAGATTAAACTGAAAGAGACTGACTTGAGTCAATTGAATTTTCATTGACCAGGCAATGTAGTTATCTGCTACATGCAAATTAAGAACCCCCTTTAAAGGCATGATTCATCACAAATCTCAGAAGGTTTTGATGCTGTGCTAGCCATTAGTATGACAAATGGCTGGAACAAAATGGATCGTACCTCCCTGCTCCCATTGTTTAATTTATCTTCTCATTGTCTGAGGGAAGCGGACATTTATGGGACTGGCCATTCGCCCATCAGATACAGGTTACTCCATGAAGGTGCAATGCAATTTCATGCTTAGGCAAGTATGTGTTACTTTTCGGGTAAGAAGAACAGAAGCTGTTTTGATGGCAAGCTTTGGATGGAGGGGATAGTGACTGCTGATATGTGACCTCTTTTAACCAGCCAAGGAAAGAATGAAATCTTTGAGCTGGGTGCACTAATGTAGTCTCTGGCAACTGGCCTGCTCCCAGATTAATCTGATACCCTTCTCTGCATTCTTCCCCCTTCTCCCACTACCCCTTTTCCCTGCTGCAATTAATGTTCCCTTCCTATACTTTCTGGTCATTTTACCATTTACGGCAGAGACAGTGTCTATGTTCTTTGCTGTCTAGTACATGTTGGTAAATAAATGTTAGCCAATTGGATAGGGAAACACTGAGATTTTAAAATATACATAATGTTTCACCCCCCCTGCGCTTTGTCCATGCAACTCAGAGCAGCTTATGTGTTCATCCCAGGTGGTCACTCATCCTGGCACTACTTGGGGCCAGTGTCAGCAGTCTCCCAGGCTTTCAGGCCATTCCCTGGTCCCTCAACTTGTTCTATACCTACACTGAAGTAATGGGAGCTGCAGAAGCAACACCAGTAAATGCTAAAATAAAACACATATTAAGGCAGTTTCTAGCCAAGTTTCTAGCCAAGAGGGCTAGAAACTTCTTTTAAAATATAAAGTTGATATAATCATTATTCAAGCAAGGGTTCAAAGAAAACACAGAAGAGTCATCAGAGATACAGTCATTTGAAGTCATTTTCAGTCAACCCTGACCTGAATATCTCAGGCAAGTCGGATCTCATCAGATCTCAGAAGCTAAGCAGGGCTGACCCTGCCAAGTACTTGGATGGGAGACCTCCAAGGAATGCCAGTGCCGGGACATAGAGGCAGGACACAGCAAGCCACCTCTCTGAAACATCCAGGCCCCACTAGGGGTTGCCAGAAGTCAACCATGACTTCCAGGTAGACACACACACAAATACCCACAAAAAATCCATCATTTACAGTCATTTGAAGAAAGCTACATAGTTCTGTTGCATCAAAAGACACATAAGGAAAGAAAGAAGGACTAGAAAATGACAGCAAAGACAGCAGTTAGAATGAACGGTTCTGGCGTGGGGACAGAGCTCAGCAGCAGAGCCTCTCTTTTGCATGCAGAATGGCCCAGGTAAATCTCCAGCAGCTCCAGTTCTAAAAGGAGCAGGCGATGTGAAAGGCCTGAGACCCTGGAGAGTTGCTGCCAATCAGAGTAGACAATACTGACCTGGACAGATCAAGAATTTGATTCAGTACAAGGCAGCTTTGTGTGTTTCTGATTTTAAGAATTAGTATTTGGAATATAGATCCAGAGGAGTTAGATATGTTAGTCTGTTGCTGCAAAGTAGTAAAAAGCCCAGTAGCACCTTTAAGACTAACAAACTTTATTGTAGCATAAGCTTTCGAGAAACAGCTCTCTTCGCCAGCTGCAGGGAGCTGTGATGAAGAGAGCTGTGTTTCTCAAAAACTTATGCTACAATAAAGTCTGTTAGTCTTAAAGGTGCTACTGGGCTTTTTACTATTTAGAATTAGGGTTGCCAAATCTGGATCGTCCGGGAGCGGGGGGCTCCCAAACGATCTCGGGTGCATGCGCGCGCGCGGGCAGTGTGCATGTCACCCGGAAGTGACGTCGCACGCTGGGGGCGGGGCCACGCAAGTTGAGGGGAAAACAAAGAGTTTTCCCCTCAAATGGCTGCCATTTGAGGGGAAAACTCTTTGTTTTCCCCTCAAATCGCGTGGCCCCACCCCCAGCGTGCGACGTCACTTCCGGGTGACACGCACACGGGGGTGGGTTTTCCCCCGGGCCCCGATTCCGGCACGCCGGGAATCGGGGCTCCGAAACGGGGGATTCCCCGCCCCCCGGCTGCATTTGGCAGCCCTATTTAGAATGTGTCCCTGTTAAGGTTTTTAGAAGCCATTTAAATGCCAACTGAACTTCCTCAGGCCATTTTAAGTCTTTGATAGGTCAAACCATGCCCTTACCCAAGTGGCTCAAGCTAGCCTGATTTTATCAGATTGCAGAAGCTAAGCAGGGTCAGTCCCGATTAGTACTTGGATGGGAGACCATCTAGGAAGTCCACAGTTGCTCCACAGAGGCCGGCAATGGCAAACCACTTCCATTCATCTCTTGCCTTACCTCTATTATTCCCTTGTTTATGGGGATGCCATAAATTGGGTACAACTTGATAGCACTTTCCACCAAGTTAAAACATCTCATTTGCCGAGCATGTGAGCTAGTGCTGTTCCCAAATCCACCCCACTGTGGACTGAAAGTTCCCATTATGCAGGCGTCACCCAGTCATGAGTGGAAAAGTTCCAGATTATCTGTTAACATGTTGCAAGGCTCTCTTTTGCGTTATTCAGAAGCACAGGCTGCCATTTGCAGAAAGAACAGCAAGTGTAAGCAAAGAAATAAATCTCAAATACTGCCTTTATAAAAACTACTCTCTACAAACTTGGTTTTGTAAATAGGAAATAAAAGAAACAGTCCTTCAAATAATTTGTGCTTGCATTTAGATAATCCTATCTTTGGTGATCTTACACACGAGCCTTCCTAAAGAAGCCAAAGCAGAAATGGTTTCCTCTGGACCGTGATACTTTCTTTGCATGCATCTTCTAAACATGGCTTACCGTTTTTCTGGCTCCACTGAACTTCGTGAACTTCAACTTACTACTAACACAATGTTACAAATAAATTTCTTCTTCCTTTTGGTTCCAGGCTGTTGCTCCACTGATATTAGTCATATGAAAACTGGCTGAGTGGAATGTCTCTGAGAAATCATGGAATATTTTTTGAGGCTGAGTTTGTTTTCTTATATGGATACTGGCAGCTCAGATTTATTTCATTATTGGATTGCTAAATGTTGCAGTTTCTCATTCATATGACAATTTTCACATACATGGTTCCATGGGTAGAAACATTTCTATTTGTGGGGTGTGATTTCCTTGCCTCTCGTCTCCTGTGGCAGCCGATACACCCCCCCCCCATCATTAAACCATGAAATCCATAAACTGGGGAGAAACCGCACACTCAAGATATATTCCGGGGAGGAGGTGTCTATTAGCCCTTCTCGCAGAAAACACATCAAATACAGCACTTACATGTTATCAAAATGCATGTTCTCAAAAACCAAACACCATCACCCACCCAAATCCCTTACCTTGTTGATGTGCCAGGAATCGGGCGTCCAGTGTCCACAAGGACACACCAGCAGTATCCTGTGGAGGGATGGCACTGCACGGGTTTATAAAGGCCACCATTAGCACATTCTGGAATGAACACATTGTCTTTTTGAGGTTGCTTAGCTTCTTCTAATGCTGACTGGAGTTCTTGATCGCATGATGATGCTGCTGGGGAGAAAAGAATGACAAAGCTCTGGTTATCACCTATGAACTGGTCAGCTTACTGGTCGGTTAGCCAAGGAGCCAAAGCAAAATAGAGTTTAGAGACATAGTACTATATTACTTTCCTCCTGCTGGTGTGCATCATTATTGGGATTTACCACAATTAAGAATGTGCCCAGTAGAATGTTGAGATCCTAGTCATCATAAGCACTTAGGCCAGTGTTAATAAAATAGCTGTTTTTGAAAACAGAGTAAAAACTTCAAGAAATTAGCAGAAATTTGAAATGTTGCAATACTTATTTAGCATTATAGTACTTTGCTAGGAAGCTGAATTATTGGCGGTGGTGATGACAATAATCCATGAAAAGGCAGGACACAAATATCATTGGCTTCTGGAGATGTCACTGTTTCTAATAAAACTACTGAAGTACAATGAAAACTAGTGAATTATGGGTTGGATCTTGTGGGTCTTGTAGGGCTGCCAAGTGGGGGCAGGGGGGCAGGTAAACCCCCGCTTTGGAGGCCCGATTTCCGCCACTGCAGAATCAGGCCCCGGGGGGAACCCTACCCCGGCGTGCACTCTATGGTTTTCCCTTGTATGGCCGTGGCCCCACCCCCAGTGTGCCTGGCGTCCTCCCGTCACTTCTGGGTGATGTGTGTGCAGCGCCCCCCCACTCCTGGCGAAGATACACTTGGCAACCCTAGGGTCTTGCAATGTGAATATTCTGCAAATACTTCAGTATTTGACAACATCTGACTTGAACATACCTCTTCTAGAGAAATAATTGAGGTTGATGAATCTAATCTACAAAAATATGGGGATCTTGACTATAAAACTGAAGTTTTCTGAAAACTGAATATTTAACAGTATATATGTACTTTGAGAGAACTGTGTATTCCTTGATTAAAATGTGGTGTTTCCAAACCCAGCTATCCCTACAATACTTGGGTGATAAAACATCTTGGGTTGGATCCTGCATAGCATCAGAGGTCGTTTAGTAGAAAAAGAGGTAGGGGAACTCATTAGCATAACTCATTAGCATATGCCACACCCCCTGACATCACCGGAAGTGTGTCATAAGGCCACACACCCCGCCCCCAACGGTCCCGGCCGCCGCCGGCCTTGCAGGTCCACTGCCAAGCCCCATGAGGCAGGCAGGGGTGGGTAGAGGCAGGGAGGAAGCAACTTACCTTCCCTCTTCTCCTGCCTCCTCCTGGCTGAATGAGGGCCAGAAGCGGGGTGGCCAGAAGCAGGGGGCGGGGCTTTGTCATGTGCCCCGCCCCCCATACCTCACCCGGGGGAACTGCGATCCCCCATGATTCCCCCCAAAATGACCTCTGCATAGCATGATCAAAGTCATGTTAGATACTGGAAACTTCTCTGCCTTCCTCCTTTCACTGCAACCTTCTCTGTCTCCCCAAATCATGCTCCTCCAGATCAGTGGACCCCCAGGAACAGCTAGTGGGGGGGCATCTGCAGTTGAAAATGGCAATCAGTGGAAACTGGCCCATGTATGTGTTTTGCATCAGTGTGAAATATAAAGCACCCATGTGCTTAGTGATTATCAACTCTCTACACTAATAGCTAAGTCTGTAGAATGTCACAGAAAGAATCTGTGTGCTTCTGCTTTAGCATTTCCTTCTTTAACATGTCCTCCCAGTTCCACAAATTCCAGTGAGCTGCTTGTGACAAACATCATCAGAATTAAGAAATCCATTCGTTCTTAATTCTCCTTCCCCAGTTCTCTCATTATGTAATGGACTATGAATGGGCAATTAGAAAAGGCAGCTTTCCAGAGCCAATGACCTTTTTTATTAAGCCTTGACATTCAATGCACTCACTCCACAAAAACAGGTAAGAAGACACTAGTGTACTTAACAAACAAACAAAAAACCTCCTGCAAAGTGATACATGTGAAGCAATGCACTTTAAGAGTGTTCAGCGTTCAAGTTAAAGAGAATCCCCAGTGCAAAACCTCAAAAAGAAACTAAGGGTTACATTCAACACACAAACTATCATGAAATTACAGTCCTTCCATCTGACCATCTGTTTCAAAGAATTTCAACTGAGTATCCTCAGCTTTTCATACAAGCAAAATGCCCATGTCATGTGTGATAGTAAGCCACATAAAAAGCAAATAAAGTATTAAGATATCTGTCAAAATACATGGATAGGATAGACAGACAGACTTTCTTATTTGTATTAGGAGATGAGGGAATTTAACTTCTTCAAATTGTAACCCTGTGGCTGCTTTTAAGAAACAGTAAAGAAATCAAGGGACCTCAGATACACCATCCCTGATCCCTCATATCTCATCTGGTTTGGACCTAGTCAGTATCTGCCTGGGTTACTAATGATAGATGCACAAAGAAGGGCGGAAGTGGACTACCACTGATGACAGGAGAAGCAAGAGTACAAGGGTAGGGAGAGGTGGGAAAGGCCAATTTAAATTTTAAAAGGCCAATACGTTCTATATTGGTAGACATGGCCCCCCATTTCAAGAGGCCAGGTCCAACCCTATCTAACATAATGGCTCTTTAAAATTTAAAGGGAAGAGAGACACTGACTAACCACTGGCGGTGGGATGGACCTGGCATCCTCTAATGATCCTTCAAATGTTTAAAAGGAAATGACTGAACTGGCCCTGGACTTACCATGTTGGCAACAGTTCCCACCCCCCACTGCCAGAAAATAACAGGCCAACAGGTGTACTTCTTCACTCCCGTGGGGCTTGACTGACCTGCAGAAATCTCCTATTGATGGTGGGACAGGTCTCCCTATAACAAATAATGACTCTTTACAATTTAAAGGGAAGAGAGACTGTGACTAACAGCTCTTTGGCCAGGACCAGCTTCCCCAGTTTTCCTCCCTGCTCTTGAACCTTTTGAAAAGCCCCAAGCACTCCCAAATTCCAGGAGATAAATTTTCATTACAGGACTATTTTGGATCACTTTGGGCATCTCCAAGCTAACCAGAAACAGCTAATTTGGGGTTTAATTTTGGCTCAGTATATCTGAATGCACACCCCAATGGGATTAGTATACACAACGTTTTGGAAAGCCAAACATATCAATGTAATCCTCTTCGGAGGCAAGATCTCTGTGTAAGTCTGTGAATCTGGATATATCCCAGTTACTTATCTGCTACCACTCTCTCCTTCTCACTCCTCCCTCTGACATCCTCAAACTCTAAAATAGACAGCCAGTAAACAAAATAATGGCCAGGTCTGAATTTTAAGACCCTTTAAAGGGTCCTTTTGTGAGCCAAGCATGTGGTCCGTGACCACCCCTCTCCCTCCCTCCTGCTAGATTTGAGGGGCCCTCCAGCTGATCAGCAGGCCACGTGGTCCCTGCAAATCAGCTGAAGTCCTTTAAATTCAGCGGGCGGGGAGTGAGAGACAGGGGTGGCCGGGCAGGTGGTTGCTCTTGGGGCAGGGCTTGGGGCCCAACCCATGAAATGCTCCCAAAATCCCCCTGGCAGTTTAAGAGGGGATCTGGCAACCCTACCTTCTTATCCCTGCAAAGCCTTTCCTGGGGCCCTGGGATCCACATGCAGGAGTAATCATGCAGTTTGGTAGGCTAGAACCTGCAGGGGAAATGGGATGAAATCAACCCCTTTTCTCAATGGAGCTGTGCTTATGAAAGAGGAATATTATGAACTGTGATCAAGGCAGCTCTTAAACAAGTGATTTCATTTTATTCAGCTCATAATAACACTAGACAACCATACATAGAACAAGGCGGACTTATATATGATTTGAATGGACAAAACCACATCCCACAAACAGATAACAACCAATTGGAATACGTAGATAGGAACCAATAAGATTGTTTCCCACTGAAGTCAAAAGCTTCTTGATTGGCCTATTTGTCAATCCATGTAATGCTAAGTTATACTGGAACAGTGCCCAAGATAAATCATGCTTTATTGACTTAATACATAAAAAGGAAGAAGAAGCAATTTCATCTGCACTCCAACACCTTCCCCAGCAGCATAGCTGTTTTTCTAACCTGCTTGTCATGATCATGGGCCTATAGTGGTGCGGCCTACAGGCTCCAGGGAACCCTGTATGGGAGTAGTCCTCAAGGCCTACATTTCCAAGGTTCCCACTGGACCCAATGATTGGGTAACAGGAGATTTTGGAGGGGAAAACTACACCAGCAGGGGAACAGAGGGTGGTTCCTGGGAAGAGGAGATAAAAGACCTTTCCCAGAATGGGGGGGTGTTCTCTCTCAGGGAGCAGGGCTGGTGGAAGTTGCTGCAGAAAGAGGGATCCCTCATCCAAAAAGGGGAGAGTTAGACTGTGAACATACTTGCTGTCTAAGAGGAGCCCTAGAGCTTGTGCCTCTTTTTGTAGCAGGAACTCCTTTGCATTTTAGGCGACACACCCCCAATGTAGCCAATCCTCCAAGAACTTACAGTAGCCCCTGTAAGAAGAGCTCTGTAAACTCTTGGGGGATTGGCCACATTAGGGGCATGTCGCCTAATATGCAAAGGAGCTCCTGCTACAAAAAGAGCCCTGCTTGAATACCTGCATCCCTGCCCACAGGAGAATTAGTTATACTGGGGAAGATGATGGGAGCTCTTCCTGGAAACCTAATGCTACACTGCAAATGGAAAGGATATTGACTGGCAACAGCCACTGTTACTGTTGCTCTTCTTCCCTCCAACTTCTATTATTGTGCTTGTACCATTGTTGCTATAGTAGCATAGGATGCTGGTAAATTGTTTGCGTGGAAGTTCCAGCATAGTAGCAGCCATCACAGCAGGACCACAGTACTGTCCTGGCTGAATTATGTGATCACTATGCCAGAAATACATTTCTGTTCAAGCTGGGTGCAGGAGGGCTGCCTTTTTATGCCTGCTTATTGCTGTGTGTCGAAACATCACATGTGGATCGGAGAGCGCCAATGCTCCCTCTAATCCCAACCACCGCTGAGTGGAGCAGGTCACATCCTGAGCCGAATATAACTGTTGTAATCTTAAAATGGGCAAGGAGCAGTAC